AGCAGCCGCGCAGGCATGCGCATTTTGCAAAGCTCACATCTGAGCAGCTCAGATATTAGTGCTTAGGACTCTGCCCGGTCTTTTTAAGGTTCAAGGGTTCCGGGTTTGGTTCATCTGAGGTTCCGAGTTTAGACGACAAAGTTCAGAGCATCAGGCCTTGAAGAGTTCAGGGATCAAGGTTTAAATTCTAGGGCTTAAGCAGTTACCCCTTTCAAGTTCACGGTGTCAGGCCCTAAGCCCCAAATGGCTCTGGGGGTTGGGTTGGTTTTAGGGTTCAATATGACCCCTCACTTTTGACCCTTCGTATCCCCAAGATGCCCATCTCCTATGTACACCAACCAATATTTCTGGCAAAACCTGTATACACTCACCAGAACCATCTGAAACCTAGTTCCTACCTCACATAGGGTTGTAAGGTGTATGTTCAGCACCGGGGTGTAATGTTCGATCTGAGTGCCCTAAACTCTAAACCCTAAACTGCGCTGTTGCCTCCCCCACAATAATTAAGGCATGTTCCGTCATCTGAATATCCACACCACTAGAACTCAACATCAGCTATGGCTAGCCTAAATACATAAGTGAGTTTAGGGTTTAACGTTGAATTGGGAAAAGGTGATCGCATAGATGGGAGATATCTTCCACCTTACGGGATGCAAGTGACTTAGCATTCGGGGAATGCCTGGCTGATTGGAGTACACAGGGCACCCTTACGTTTATGCTTTTTCCCCAAAACCCTGAGCCCCAAAACCATAATTGCCTGGAACCTAAACCATCGAAGGGGAAACAAACCCACCATGAAGCGAAAGCGAAAGTAAGCCTTTCGATCGAGGCGAATTATTGATGAACTCCCCCTACTACTATACCACTTAGGATCTTGGGTTTAGGGTTTATAGGGTCCTCCTACTATCCCCCGGTCCTCCCTCCCCTAGGTTCCCCTTATGAGACTTGTTGAATAGTTTACGGATAATTAAGGGTACTTGCGGGTAGTATTTTGGGGGTATCCGTGAATTATTCTAGGAATCCGCAAATAAACTTCGAATCTGGAGAGAGCCCGCGAACCCTGAACCCGTAGTTTGCCAGGAGCCCCTATGTCCACCCTGAGTGGTCCCTGGTAACCCTAAGGCCCTAGTATTTACAGTAGCTAATGTGTTCTCTGCAAGTCTTGGAACACTGATCAACTCCACAAGTTAAGCCAATGCCTCCGCTGAATGGACATGAAACCCCACACGGGTTGCTGTTTGAAGTATAGGGGCCGCAGTCTGTATAACCGGTGTTTGGTTCTGCCATGTTTGTTTCGGAGGGCAAAATGACCCAACCCTGAACCAGAATCCCTTGTAGGGGGAAGTGTGATCTTTGCCTCTTGGGGTCCTGCTTCTTTTTTGAGGGGCGTTGGCTAACACCACAGGGTTAGCATTAATGGGTTCTTCAAGCCCCTCAAGCAAAGTGGTGATGAGCCGAGTCACTCCACCTCACGATTCGGGCATTCATTCTTGCGGTGCCTGCAAGCGATGAAGACTGAAGTCACAAGGTTACAGGTCTAATCTGCGGACCCTTTCTGAAAGGTCCTCATGCTCATGTCACCTTTTTGTTCGAATTTGGGGGGAAGGCTACGTGAGCCACAGCTTCACATCGGCGAGGGGCTTCTTCATCAGCTTCTTGGGGATGAGCTCCTTCCAAAGCCATTTAGGGTTTGGAGTTCTGGGAACGGGGAAAACCCTGGTTTGGGACTTAAATTTGGCGTGACGTAGCGCTTCTCAGCAGCCGAGGACCTTGGAAAGATGTATGCGCACATATGTGTATATATATATATACCCATCTACCTATATGTGTGTGTATGTCATGTGAAAGCACTCACTTCTCAGTCTAAAGCATAGGTCTGGGATTCCAGGCTTCTTGCGCAGGGCCCGAGCCCCAACATGTACACCTGCACTGCAGGTTTTGCTAGTCGAATCCAACCCTTCATCTTGCAATTGACTTAAACCCCCTCCATACGAGATTCTATGCCAAGCTAGGCGGGGAGTGGAACAATTTGAAAAGGCTTCATAGAGGGCTCAGCCCATCACTCTTCAAAACCAAGCCACAAGCACTATACACCAATGCAAACACAAACCTACCTAAACGGTACAACCTAAAATCCCGGGCCGCAAACCCTGTTTACTCTGAACCCTCCAAGCCCTATGATCCCCAGACCCTAAAACGTTGCAAGCCCTAAACTGAAGCCTTTCTGGAGCTCCTGAAAATTGCGCCTGCAGCATCTGTCGTAGGGACTCTGCAATCCCTCTGATTTCCTCTTCAAGGGCCCTTAGACCCTAAATTCTAAACCCTTTGTCCCTACACCCCCTGGCCGCCCCAACCCTTAACCCTAAAACCTGCACGCTCAACCATAAAACTGTGCCTACGGCTCCTATTTTGTGACCCTTTTCACTGGGTTGGCCCCTAAAGCCCTTTGAAAAATATTAGTATATAGGGTCCCTTCTCCTAAACCCTAAACCCTAAACCCTAAACCTAGAAAATATTAAGTATTTCAGGGGCCTACCCAGTTCAGTCCTGGCAAAGCTTGCATGTGGTATGAGTCTCCGGCTCGCTTACCTAATTTGCTGTGTACGTTTAGGGTTTAGGGTTTAGGGTGTTTGTTTGGAGCTTGTTTGATATGTTTTTTCAGCTTAGGGTTTTGGTGGCTGTCTGGGTTTAGGGTTTGATGGGACGCTGGTTCGCTAAATGCTGACTTTGCAGATTTAGGACTGCGCTGCATACTTTGAGGTCAAGAGTTCAGGGACGCCACGGAAACTGAAGATTTAGGATGTTTGGGTCAGGGCTCTAGGATCTGGGGTGTAGGGTCGAAAGTTCATGCTTCAAGGTCTCATGCTCAACTCCTGAAGTGCAGGTTTGAAGTTGTGAGTTTTTGTTGACACCTTTGTCAGGGTTTGGCACCTACTTCTCGAGGATAGTTTAAGGTGCAGGGGCTGGGAGTACGGACGTTCATGACGGCCGCGAAAACCAATATGACAAGGATATAACACTAAGAACCCGTACTCATCTTACAGCAAGCTGCCACTGTCTTTAGCAGCCAATGTCTTGAAGAGTTGCATCGGAGAAAAGATTTGAAGAAATGGTTCAGGGCTCAGACTCTTGGTACCGAGCATGGGATTTGTTACTTTCCTGCGACCGCTTCCTGCCTCCATATTCGGGCCACGGCTCCAACAAAGCAGTTTGAAAGTATGTCAGAAACTACACCAATTAGTCATGGGGTAGTCTATAAGCTTTTGATGGGGGGGGTCACTTTTCGGTGCTGCGGCTCTCTTTTCATAATTCGCAATACTCAGCAGCATGTCCTCCCATGTCCGGAAATCTAAGGCCATACGTCCCGAGCCCACAACCTTAGACCTTACTTCTCTACCTGAAGCTTTGAAGACTCCTCCGCAACTCGGGTCTGTGGCGATGCCATACATTTGGAAGGTTTGGGGTTTCTGGTCGCATACTTCTCCAACAGGTTGAGGGTTGTTTGGGGTGTAGGCTTTTGCCTGAACAGTACACGTTTCTGGTACGACCGTGGGGTTCTTTTGGCATTCGTATCATCAGACCCCGGAAAACTTGCAAGGGCTACGAGGAAGTCGAGCCAACTACAGCTTCACATGCGCATCATGGAAGCCCTATCCAAATTACTTACCCTCTGTTAGCTGGGAATGCAGGAATGGAAGCTACTATAATGGGTTACATAGGGTCTACTATGAGGATCCATTCCTTTCTTCCCAGCTAACGAGCACGGCTCAGGGCTCAAAGTTCAATGGCCTGGCTCAACCTACATCAACCTACTACAGGCTCAAGTTGTGATTCTGCTGCACATGTTGGCCAGCTGTAGAAGCACCGACACAGCAGGCCCATACTTGAGGTCCAACGTATTATATAGCTATAGATGCTTCGGGGTCTGCGTAGCCTTTTTGCCACAGGGATTCCTACATAGATGCATTTAGCCCTGAGGTTTTACTATGTGGGTGCTCGGAGCTGCGCTGTATACCTACTTATGAAGCTTGCCCTGGCCCTCCAAGTAACAGGACGACGGCGTGCCATCATAGCGGCCAGGAACCGCTCAGGGTTCAGGGGATAGGGTGGAGGGTAGGCCGAGATGTGAGTTTCTAAAAAACTGGAGCCCTTGCGGATTTTTGGGATATGTGGGGATCACATGGGATTGAGGGGGATTCCGTGAGCGCAATTTTGACAAACTCCCAAAGGAGTGCTCGTCTCTTTGGACTGAGCCGGGCTGGTCCCCTAAAGGAGCATAAAAGCTGACAAGGTGTGCCTGCACACTGCTGCCCCTGACAGAACATATGAAATCCTACATCCACAGCCACTGCAGGTGGGGTCCTACAGTGCCTTCCTTCAATCTACCACGTCTTGTGCTTTCTGCATGTTTCCGCAGAAGTGAAACAGGCGCTGTGGAACGCTTACTCATGATAAGGCGAGCCTAGTCCAACACACGTCGTAATTAATCTGTGGTTGTAGTTGTAACAAGAGAAGCTACACGTGATGACCACATTACACACTGCTTAGTTCCCTATCTCGGCCGACGATGCTTGGGTTAAAATTCAAACCCTCACAGAATCGTGAATGAACGCCGCCTCTTTCCATCGGCCGGCCGGCAATCTAAGCGACCACATGCAACCGCTCAAGCGGTTGGATAATCACCTCCGCCTGTATCAACTGCCCACCACCCTGTGGTATTGAGTCTTGCATAGTGGGACACATTCAATATCAGGGGAAAGGGACTATGTTCTTGTCGGCTCCTGCCTCTAACAACATCTGCACGATATCGGCATGATCGCTTTCTACTGCGCTGAACAAAGCTGTGTAGCCGCCCTCATCATCCTGCAGGTTCATGTTGGCACCTTCTTGCAGCACCCCTAAACTCCAAACATATGTAAACCCTAAATCCTGCAACATACTTTGAATCCGAAGTAAATCTCAAAATCTGAAACCCAAGATAAAAGCATTGATATTGGCACCTGCTTCCAGCAGCAAGCGTACAACATCTGCATGTCCATGAGCAGCAGCCAGCTGCAGGGCAGTGCAGCCAAATGAATCCTGCAAGTCTGTGTTGGCACCGGTCTCCAGCAACATCTGTACAAATTCCGGGTGGTTGTGTAAAGCCGCGTACATGAGGGCCGTCCTGCCAGCGCGACTCTGCATGTCCTTTTCGGCGCCAGCTTGTAGAAGCAAGCGCGCTATCTGCACGTTTCCCTTCTGAGCTCCGTAGACAAGAGCTTCCTTGAAGCTCTGATCTTGCGGGTCTTTGCCAGCAATAGCTTCCGCAAGAACCCTTACAACCGCGACGTCACATTGCTCACAGGCATCAACAAGCTCCGTTGCGGCCGCCTTCTGCTGGGCAGTAGTTGACATTGAAGACAGCACCAGCTGCACTTCCATAGTGGGTTGCAGCTTTGTGGAGTCGTCCAGCACGCTTCCGTTGTGTAGGAGCTGTTGCATACACAAAGGGATGCCATTTTGCTTTCGCAGCTGTTTTTTCAGCTCGGACACATCGCTCGTCTCCTCCACGCTGATGGCGGCTAACTCCTCCCCGGAGACTCTCCAGACGCGGATCATGGTGCGCAAGGCTCCTGTTGTAGATGTCTTTGAGAAGATGCAGCTGGATATGTGCATTGAGTTAGTAGCGTTACTCGAAGCTTTCCTGAGATACTGTTCCGAGCATGTGGATGGGAAAGTACTTAAGGAGGCATGCCATATGGCTGTGGCAAGCATTGTTTAACAAATGCCCAAACCCCGGGCAAAAGTATCTCATGGTGTCAAGACGCTTGAGCCTAAACTGCTGACACGCAGAGAATTCCTATGCAATACAAGTCGTAGTACTCTCGCTGGGAGACTGGGATCCGCGGAAGGAAGGCAACTTTACCAAGCACATCTTCTGAAAAGATTTAGCGTTTAGATTTTGAAGTTTGGGGCCACTCAAACATTCACACATTACAGTTTGCTCAGAGAGGCTATATTCGAATTGGTCCGTTTTTGGAGATTATACGGCAGGTATGTGGGAATTTCCCAAAATAGGGGACCCCAATATAGACCCCCAAGTACTATAATCCTTATTATAAGGACCCACAAAATGGTACCCCTAATTTTGGGAAACCCCCATGTGAGGATCACTGAATTGCACAAGGCTTACAGCTCCGAGCTTCTCAAGTAAGACATGTTTGCAGTTCCCCTTGCGGATCCGAATGGTTCATGGTGCGTCTTCCATACTCGGTCAATCTCCTAAACCCTAAGGCCGGGACCACAAAATCCCATAGTTGCCAAGGTGCGAGTTCGGATTTGGGATTTCGGGCCCCTTCTGAGAACTCCCTATAGACTACAACGTTTCATTCAAAACCTTGCTAGACTAATTATGGCACGCTGAATCCAATGCACAGCCCGTCAGAATTATGCGTTTTCGAGTTAGGCTTTTAAACTTCTAGGGCTCGGGGCCTACAACAATTTCTAACCTTACGATGCGAGGACCCCAATGAACCAATGCATTCCTGAAAGCAGGCAGACTATCTCAACCAAAAAAACAACAACATAAAACAAACAAAACAACAATGAATCCATAGTCGTCGACGAATGAAGAGTTTTCTCAGAACCGGAAAGCAACGAGAACATCAACAACAAGAAGCAACAAAACAAAACACAAACACGACTTTAACACTAAAGCAACATAAATTCTAAGCATAGTGTTTGAGGTATCTTAGCTTGGTTTTGGTCTGGAAGTCGACATCTAACTCTGAACTGTAACACCTTTGCTCGAAACCAAAACCAAAGCAACAAATTATGGACTCACTCGAAACCTTCCTGTAACCACAATTGCTAACGGTTTAGGGTTTAGGGTGTAGTAGCAACTACAAGGCACTGAGCAGGTTTCAGCAACACAATCGTAGATAATTTCGGGTCAAAGGTGACTCCCCTCCCCTTCCTAATACACTCCCCCATCCCCCCAAAGGTTAGGAATATCCTCCGCCTGCAACGGGGTTTAGGGCTTAGGGTTTAGGTTACACCGTAGTGACACGTTGGGAGTATTGATTATGATGTGGGTGGGGTATTAAACTCAGTATAAGGTAAAGGGATTGCGCGTAAAGCTCTGGTTTCACCAGGGCTATACAGGGGTTGCAAGGACGACGCAGCCCCGACTATTTTCGAAAGTTGCCCTGCTCTGGTTTTATGCGTATCCTGAATAACCTGAAAACCCCAAACCCTCATAACCCTCACCAGAAGCCCAAACTTGCTGCTCTAGGCGCAGTTGTTGAAGGTTTTGTGGCGCCTGTGGTTTTGCAGGCTTCGAGTGGAAGGTTGTCTGGGATTCCAGGTTCAATGTTTACGGTTCCAGGAAAACTGTGGATCTTGCTTCTTAGGATAGGAACCACGTTGCGAAACCAGGACGATTGAAACTGGACAGCGCCCAGCATACTCCTTACCTCAGCATGACTATGCATGACTGGAAGTAATAAAACAAGCTAGAGCCCATCATATTCTCGAGGTACGAGGGCTATCATACGGATCCTGTCGTTCATTCCTTGCAGGACCAAGGTAAAATATGTTCTGTGCTATCCAGGACAATCGACTCGGTAGGCCAAAAAAACCCGAGCGCGGCTCAACCTCGAGCCCCTAACCTGCGCCCTTACCCCCGTTTCCTGACGCAGTTCCAACCTTGGATAGAGAAAACCAAGACACCTGAAAAGCCTTGAACCCAAATGCCGACTGAGTCCAGCGCCGGCGTCGTCCTCTTCGCCATTGTCATTTTCGGCTGCCTGCGATGTGCTAGCATGATAGGTTTTTTGCCCTATAGGGGGTGTTCAGATTGCTTTGGGGTATACAAGGACATACATGGGGGAGTGAATGCGGCTTAGAATTTGAGGTTGGATACTTCCCACAAACTCATATGTAATCTCACATAGCCCTTTTCTGAAGGATGGAAAGCTGGAGAGAGGTTTTTGGGGGTTCCATGTCAGTTCGGGGGAGGGTGAGGCATTCCAGTCCCTTTACCCCAGACGCCCTGAGGTGCATAGGGTCATGCAGGATTCTGCCCAGCGACAGTGATCCGTCCCAGACGCTAATGCCCTCAAACAAAACTAAACCCTATCCCCTAAACCAACGCTAAACCTTAAACCCTGAATCCTAAACCCTAAACCCCAGACCGTAAACCCTAGGTTCGTCGTGCTTGGCAATTTACCCCCGAAGCTGAGCTTGGTTCAAGGCTCAGAGGCTAATCAGCTTGGAATCAACATGGAAGCACCGCAAGGGTGCTGTGTTACACGGGAGTGTAAGGGTGATGCTGTAGATACGAGACCTTTGCTCCTCTTAGGTGCCAAGGTGACAGCATATGGACCCGCCTTGGAGTTTCGGGGACTAAGGCGCTGCTATGAATCTTTGTGACTGGGCCCATAACCCTTCTTTTGATCCCGCCGAAGGCCTTTTTGCATCAGGGCCTCACTACTGCCTGGATCCGCACTCACGCACATGCTTGACATGAGGCTTGCACTGGAAAAGCCTCACGTCGAATTCCCCAGCTGGTACCCCCCGTTATAAGTGATAGTGCTTGCTATGTGCTGCGAAACCCCAAATACTGCCAGCACCTCTCAAAAAAGAATCGCACTTGTGCGAGGTGGGTTTCGTACATCAGGTCTGACGTAAGCTCCCGTTACGCTCCCTGCAACAACCTCATGATCCTGGGAGAGTCTCTGGCTCTGGGGCCCAGAGTCTTCAGTTTGGGGAGAAGGGCCCTAAGCCCTCAAAGTAACTGCGCAAACTGCCTCTTCGCACACCTGAGGAGGCGGATGATCTTCTTCAGGCTCCTCCAATTCCCAAAGGCTTCTAATATCTTTTGGGAGATTCTTGGGACCTTAATGAGTTCCAGGGCATTTACTTTTTGACCCTGGTACATAATTAACACATAACTAATTACGTGCTTAGAGCTTGCCCGATTCACACGGAGGTTTTGAGTGTAGGAGTGTAGACATCCAGCTTGGGTGTGGTGTTCCGCTCCCGAAACTCACATGGAACTTGAACAAGGGCTCTATGAGAACCGTTATTTGTTCAAAATGGTGCAATATGGGGTTCTCTGCTGCTAACTGTGGGAGGAAATGTCTGTCTATCTGTCTGTCTTTCTGTCTTCCCGTTTATACTTGAATGCCAACCTGCTGAGGTTGTCGTTTCAATGGGTTGCTGTTGAAGAACTTAAGCCAACTTCTGATGGCATGGGTATATGTATATAAAGAATAAATGAATAACATGCTTGTCTCATTCTAGTAACTCAATATCCCTAGCAGCAAATTACAGGAACTCCTAGCTCTGGTAATTTCAGTTCCGTAACAGCAGCGCATTTAGGAGTTTTATGGCATTTACGATGGGGCGCGTATGATTTTTGGGGCTCCCATGCTTTTTTGGTGGAAGGTTGAATGGCTAGCAAACCTTAAAAACTTTACAGATACTGATGCATAAGCCCCCGAATCTCCTAAAGCATCCTAAATAGCCTAACCACAGAGATGCTGCAAAGACTAGTGTGCTACGAAGGCAGTCCTCCTAAAGGTAGTCTATATGGCTGTGCCTCCTTGTGGGGTTGATTACTAGGATCAGGAAGATCCTGTAAGAAAGGCCCGAGGACCTGAACACCTACAATAGACTCTGTAAATGCTAAGCCTCATCGTCATCGAACAATAGCCATATGCCAGATTTTGTTTCAGGGTTGCATCTAACCCAAACCCACAGCATCGTAAGTCCAAAATCTCTCAACAAAGCCGAATGGTTGTGGGAGGGCAGCGCTCTTGTGCAGCAGGCAGGCTGCCTCTCATTTCTCACCGTCCAAGCAAACTAATCTTTATCTTCAGCCTTGCTTGCTTGAGGCCTGTGTCGAGGTCGGAATAGCTGCAACGGTTTTGTTTTGTACTGTATATCGTACTGTAATACATGCTAGAATTTCAAGGGCTACAGCAGCATTTCCCAAAACGGATGTGCAGCCATATCAACCTTTTTGCTGGTTTCTACATTAGGCACACTAGATGTCAAATGCCACAGGCGACAACCTGAACCCTTGGCGTCTATTCAATTCCCTGAAGCTGAGTTTCTGGCTGCATGAGCGGCGGCAGAAGATGCTTTCGCCTCTGGGTCCTCCAACTCATGTAAACTAGGTTACCCAGTAAGCCCTTAACAATAAGGGTACCCTTTTTCCGAATATTCAGCTTTAATAAGGAGACCCCCCAATATAAAGGGAAAAAGGATACTACTGGGGTACCTAG